ACTTGGCATTTTGATCCTGCTTTGTCTACTGTAAAAATGGGGAAAGAATATTTATAAATTGTTAACCCCAACAACCATAAGCACTTTACTGTCTGCAGTATCCTGGGAAAATGCACTTCTAAGTATCGTAGGATAAAGAAGCCTGAAATGATCAGTTTGATTTAGTTGACATTTCCTCTCATTGTATACCTCGCAGCAGCGAACTGCATCGCCAGTTGTATTTGTCTGATACGGGGAAAGAGAGGAAAGAGCTTCTCAATTAATTCTACTATTTCTTATCAGTTGTCATACTGCCTGTCTTTTAATTATGTCTGTGCTGGTAAAATAATGAAATTTATTGTCTAAATTTTATTTCACCGTTGCCTGGCTTTCTTTTATGCCTGGGAAGAAATTCTGCAGCTGAAATTTAACCAGTAAAATCTTCAATATTGCAGTGTTTTTTCTAACTGCTGGCTCTTCAAAAAAACCTTATTCTGAATCCTTTATTCATGTAGAAAAAAAAAATTACTACCAATTAAAGGATCTGCTTTGGAAAGATAGCTGGGGTCCTAAACTTCAAACAAATGCAAGATCTTCCTGATAATTTTGTGTGCTTACATCCTTATCTGAAGTTGTCTGCCTTAGACTTGCTGGTGCTGGAGCTCTTCAGTAATTCCTCCACCGCTTATCAGCTTCTCCACACTAGGAAGCTTCTGTTCTACAGGGGAGGATACATTTGCTTCTTTGTGGGGGAAGGTAAACTTGCAAATCGTGAGCCCTGTTATTCCAAAATAAGACTGGAAAGCAGTGGTGTGTTAAATCCTGCCTCACAGGTAGGTATCTAATGCTGAGACGCACAGGTCCTTTTGACATTCTCTTCCATCTATGCCCAGTGTTTACTCTCCAAGATATAGCTGGGGGTCAAACTCAAAAGTCTTGTTTGAAGGATGAGTTCTCTTAAAAAAACCCTTCAGTCCATGAAAGCTGTTACGTTTTAACCCATGGTTCTTCAAACAAAGCCTACATTTGCTTAGTAAAGCTCTGTGCTGGGGTCCTGTGAATGGGATGTTTGGATTTTTGGAGGTGTTCCCAAGCAGCCTTCCCCTGCTGCGTTGAGGTTTTTACCCCAGAGACGGTGGTGTGACTTTGGTGAAGCTCATGGCATGTGAGTGAGTGGGAGGGAGCAAAGGAAAACACTGTAGAGAAGCTACAAAAGAAATAGAGTATATTGTAGTTCAAGTTTTTTTATATGGGTACTGTTTGGCACATAATTAAGCAGGGCAAGGAAGGGAAGAAAGATGTCTGGGGACAACCTGTAGTTTAAGATTTTTTTATATGGGCACTATTTGGGGCATAATTAAGCAGGGTAAGGAAGGGAAGAAAGATGTCTGGGGACAACTAATTCTGCATAGTGTAGCATCAGTTCTTTGCTTCCAGGGAGTAGCTGATTGTGTGTTGTGTGTTTGTGCCAGAACCCGGCATATTTATTGTAATGCTTTCACCTGCAACAAATTATTAATAAAATAAAAGAACGGCTGAGGTTGGAAAAGACCTCTGCAGGTCATAAGAGATTTGTCCTGTAGGTACCATGCTGGAGTTTCTTTCCTTTGACTCGATACCAAGACCAGGTCTAGGGCTGCTTGTCCTGTTGTGTTGATATTCCCATGAGAGTAAAGGTGTCGTTACAACACAGCATTTCTCTTCCAGATTTTTGGGGAAGTGTGGATCAGGCATCATGGCTGTGAGTGTTATGGCAGTGTGGGGACTGTGGACATGGGGTATGAACAGTTTGCCTGATACTAGATTCAAGAAGTTTCAGAAACACTGTGGTTTGGACTATATCGATACAAACTTTATTCTTTTAAAACTTGCTACAAAGTGGAGTTGTTCCTGCATCTGAAGGATGAATTATTGTGACACACGATGCCAGCTTTACTTTTAGTAAAATGTGTATGAGTACAAATTGATTTAAGGCAAGCTAATTCAGCTGGGAGCATAAAGACGTGATCTTAGAGTGGGAGACACTGACACCTCTCTGCTGTTAAACCCCAAGTAGTTTTTCCCCCATCAGTGTGTTTTTCTACTTGCATTTTTGGCTACTTCTGAGAGTTTATGCTGAGCAGTTGCTGCTTAAGGGCATAAAATAGCACTAATTACATTGGAATCTGATATGCTTGTTTTTACAATGGTTATGGAAGATTGAACATGGAAAGCAATAAAAATTTCTGGAGATTTGCTGAGACTTTCCTAATTCATAGTTATGGTTGGAGTTATTTCCTCTCCCTCATTTTTTTTTCTTTTTTTTTTTTAAACCAAAAATTCTAATTATATTTTGCTATTCCAGAAACCTCTGAAAATGGTAAAATGTTACGTTTCAATTCTGTAAATCCAGTGTAGCCGTGTGCCACTGAGCAGTATCAGCCAAATTGATGGTTTGGATGTTGTTGCGGTCGCTGTTGGCATAGGAAATGTTCTTTTTTTAAAAAAACAAAACAAAACAAAGCGGGGAAAAAAAAAAAACAAAACCAAAAAACAAACCAAAACAAACAGGAAAGGAAAAAAAAAAGCTTGGCTTGTCAGATGATGTCCTCCAGCCTCTGTCCCTTCTTTTCCCTGCTTTCTGACTTGCCACCTCCCACTTTTCTCCTCCCGTTTGCCCCATCTGCCCGGTTCTGATTTAGGCAAGAGGCAGGATGTGCTGTGCCTGATGTGGAGCATGTGCTGATCTGCCAGCTGGTGCTGTCTCCGAGCCCCGGGGTCAGAGACAGAGCTGATAAGGGCTGAGCTGTCCTCGCCTCTCTGGTGTTTCAACCATTTTCCCCACAAGATTTGAAAAATCTCAATTATACTTAAGGCCAATCTACCCTCCCTCTGCTTTTGAATCTGGAAAACCAGAGTAAAAATTGATCTGAGATATCGCTAAAATAGCACTAATAACACTTGCTGGTTTATTGTGCTTGAATATATCCTTGTCCATGTCCTTCTGCTGTTGGTGGCCCCAGAGCTGGAGGCAGCACTGGGGGGGGTCTCCCCAGAGCGGAGCAGAGGGACAGAATCCCCCCCCGGCCCTGCTGGCCACGCTGCTGGGGATGCAGCCCAGGGGGTGGGGGGCTTGCTGGGCTGCCAGAGCACATTGCCAGCTCGTGTTGAGCTTCATCCACCAGTTATATTAGGATCCTCTGGCATTTTTTTTTGCTAATGCCAACCTTAATCATGGACATGTTCTTTCTGTGCATTGCTGTCGTCCATGGTTTGTTGTGGGAAATACTCCCCTGCTCTGTAGGTGATGCTGTTCCTTGGTTTTTTCATCCCCTTTTTCACCTTTTCGTCCCCTTTTTCACCTTTTCATCCCCTCTGGGATGGGCTGTAGCAGCACGCTCTACTTGGCCATGGAGCCTCCTCTAAACACCCAGCAATTCCCGTGTGTGCTTGTAGCTACACAGGCTGCTGTGGGTGCTGTATCCCTGTGTCTGTTCCTTTCCCATGGGATTTTGGGTCAGGCTGAACATCTTTCCATGGGTTTCTGGGCCCCGCTGTCGCAGCTGCAGCATTAATGGGGCCGTTTGTGCAGAGCATGATGCTGTGTACTACAGCGTGCAGCCTTAATGCTTTCCTTAGGGAAACATTTGTCCCATTTATTCTCCTCTTGGCCCAAATTAGGCAGAGCAAGCTCTGGATGGCTGTGCTCCATCCTGAATTCTGTACACTGGGTTTCTTGGATGTAGGGCTTCTGTTTGCACGTTTGGATTAAGTGAGGCTGTGAGACGTGGGTTTGTGTGTTTGTGCAGCTCTAGAAAATGAGATACTTTAAGACCTTTAGTCTGAGCTAAGCTTGATGATTTACATAGCCTACTGTAATCCATCCTCTTAAAATTGTGTATGTGATATGACTTCTGAGATTATATCCTTATTGCTGCTTTAATCCAAATACTCAATATTATGTCCTGTATTGAGGGCTGGAAAGATGAACTGCACTATCGTCCTGCCTTGGAACTGGGCTGGGGAATATAAGCGTAACTGCGTGCTGAATTAAAGAGCAGCATCACATTTTGGTGTGCTAAACTCAAATAGAATCCACATTCTTTATCTTACAACAAGAATGATCTCCCTGTAGGAACAGGAATGAGCCTGCTTTGTAAGCAAGAGCATCCTAAAAGCCACTTAGCAATTTCCAGTGTCCTCCAGCAAAACGCTCCCCTGACATTTCAGAGCACAGCAATCAAAAAAAAAAAATGCTCTTGCATCTCTCTTGGAGTAATCCAGGGCTCTCTGGTGTCTTCTGTGTCTGGATCAAGGAGATCCCCTCAGCATTCCTCCATCGGGACAGGAGGGATATGGACCTGTTGGAGCAGGGCCAGAGGAGGCACAAAGATGCTGCAAGGGCTGGAGCCCCTCTGCCACAGAAAAATGCCCCAAAAACCCAAACAAACTTTAAATTGTGCACATAACAGGTTAAAGGAATTGCTGTTCTCTGTTTATTATTTTAGGGAAACAAATGTTTGCTCTGCTGTCCCAGCAACTGTGTGAGAACTGAGCTGGGCAAGGGTTGGACTCTGAAGTTTGCTCTTGAATAACTCTCCTGAAGTTCCTGTTGGAGTGGTTTTGGAAATGTTGATGTTGCTTGGGCACTTTGTTTTTAAGAGACAGTGACACTCACAAAAGCAGAGAGAGGTGTCAAAAGCAAAAACACAACTGGGAGAGCATGAGGGAGAGCTGGTGGCAGCACGAGGAAAATCAATGGCTTTGAATTTAAAATCAACTTATTCAGAGCAGCGTCTCAAATCGTACTCTTGAAAAAAGATGAGCATTGATTTATAAAATGACTTGGGGTCTGTAACCAAAGGGAGATCTGAGGAGAGAAATTAACTTTTTAAATACAATGTTCCAATTATGAGGTATTAATGATAGAATAATTACGCTGAAATCACTCCAGTTAATGGTCTTTGTTTTTCTTTTGTCTTTCTTTTTCTTCCCGCAACCCTACACCAAATCCTTTCTGCTCCTGATGCTTTGGGAAACAGTAGGACCCAGCCAAAGGTAAGGGCTTTTATTGCGTGTTAAATCAGCATGTGAAAAATTGTAATGTCGCTTATTCAGTCTTGGGTTATTCAAATATTAAAAGCATTTTGAAAAACAGCCCTGTAGTTGATCAGCTGTTGAGTAAGAAACTCGAAGCATCTCCTTGCTGCTGAAGAGCACTGTACAGTCTGTGCCAAAAAATGAGTCACAGGAACAAATGAGAACATACATACTCAGCATTACAGGCTGCGAATGGAAGACGACTTGTCATTTGTGAGCTTTTAAAAGCATTTTCTGGTATTTGCGTTAAAGCAAACTCATTTTGTTGTTACGGTTTCCGATCCTGTGACTCTCTATTTGGTATCCAGATACCTGTCTCTGTCCTAAGGTATCAGGATTCAGCTTTAATGATGTGGTCATATAGCAAACGAGGTTTTATTAAATGCTCTGGAGGTGTGGGATGTTATAATAATATGCTTAATTGTATAATATGTTTTCAAAGAACCGAGAAAACCTGAATTTTACATAAAGAGGTTGTTGTTTCCTCAATTAGAGGATGCAAAATAACCACTTTTATCTTTTGGTGCTGGGACATTAATGTAGTACAGGGAAACAAACCAGTGTATTTTTGAAGATGTTATTTAAATGTCACGGATTTTGCTATACTAAGCATTTTCATAAACGTAGGTAGTAAGTTTGGATGTGTTGGTAGCATGAATTTTCGATTCTTGCATATTTTTTTAATTATATTGGTTTGTGTAAATACTCGAGGAAGGTTTGCTTTATTGCTCCGTAAGTCCTTAAATGATTTTTCAGATCCCATGGTACAATCTATTAGGAAATGCTCTAACTGAGGTATTTCACTCCAGACTCAGTATTTCTTTTTAGGCTTTTCTCATTATTAATGTAGATATGATGCAACCTATTTTGTTCCTTCAATCTTTACTAGTTAAAAAATACTGAATTTGATTACCTGTGCACCTGTACAATGGAACATGAAAATACATTTGCAGATGAATTGAAATATTCAGAAATAATGGAAGGAGGGTTCAGGAGGTGGGTGTGAGACGCCGACACGGTGCGTTTGCTCTGCCAACGGGATGTGAAGTGATGCAAACCTCTGCTATGCAGCAATATATAACATCTAAAGGGGAAAGAGCAGCTTTGTTAAGCTCAGAGCAAAAATAAACAGCCAAAGAACAACACATCACAGTTCCCTCTTCTTATATCCTACAGAGTACATTTTGCTTGAGTGAGTGTAGGTCAGATATTACCCTGAATTTTTTTTTTTTCCTTACAACTGCCTATCTAGGGGAGTTATTTTTGCAAATGCCTGGGTTTGCAGCCTGAGGTCCCCAAAAAAATGGGCTGCCTTATTGGAGATCAGCTTTCATGATGAAAGGTGCCCGTGGACCTTTAGGTGGATTTACCACCAAACTGAAACTTTTCTATTTAAAAAGATGACAGTGCTTCTCATGATAAAACTTATTTACTCTGTATCACTCTTTACAAGCATTAAATTTTGGCGACGACTGCGTCTGTTTGTCAACAGTGTGTAAATACAAACTCCTCTTGTAGGGAAGGAGGTTCCTACCCTAAGGCATGTTTTTTAATTAATACAGAGAAGAGACACTGGGAGATGGTGGGCAGAAGCAGCCGGGCGACAGCTGTCAGTTTGCAAAATAGAAAGTCTTGTGAAAAACGAATTGCAAGGATGGGTTTAAAGGAAGAGAAACCTAAAGATAAACCTTGCCATCCATGGGGTTGCCACAGGGAGAGCTTTTGGTGAGCATGGAGTAGGATTCCTACGGTAGAAAGGAAAAAATAAAAACAAGGAACAAGTAAAAGTCAGGAACAGGCTTCCATATAGGAAAATGCAATGTTTGTTTAGGCTTCAAACTTGTAGAAAACAAGTAAATCTGTGGGAGTGTGTATTATATGTTCAGAATGGCCCCAGGGAGCATGATGTCAGCCAACGTAATTCAGTGCTGTCAAAATTTTGATATTTTGTGACAGTTTTTATAAGGTGTCCTCCTGGTTGTTTTCCTACAGGTGTTTGCTTACGATCACTGCTTTTGGTCTATGGATGAATCTGTCAAAGAAAAATATGCAGGTAATATTTACTGTGGCTTTGTGCTTGTTGTCTCCCAAGTGTGCATGATCTAATTAAAATACAGCATTTGCTAAAGGGCACAGCCCACGTGGCACGAAGTGCCTTCCCCTCTATGATTGCTCATTGTCAAAAGAAAAAGGAAAATCTTCAATCATTCCTCTTTCTCTTCTTTAACGACAATAGCAATGGGCATTGGTAACCCGTTTGCAGTGCAGGAAATTGAGAAATCCATCACAGCAATGGGGTACTGATATTTACATCTTTATTTAAAATACTGCTCCAAATCCATCATTTTAAAAGCATCCAATCCTTTTCAGGGATTGCTAAATGTAATTTCACGTTTCACAGTGCTGGTGGGAGTTTGGCATCATGTTAGAACTTAATAATGGAATATTAAAAAAAAGCCTAATTTAATACAGGGGTATGTGAATTCATATGGTCTGGGGAGAATGTGTAATGTATTTAATTAAAAGTTTTCTGTGTATTATTATGATATATTTGGGCAAATAGTTATGGTAAGACATGAAATACATTTGGACTTGCTACTTTTGTGATCTGTTCCTGTTAATACTTGTTGTATCTTAAATCGGGAATTAGTTAAGCTTGTTTACATTTATTTTTTTAAAAAATCTTGAAAAGAAATAAAGAATGCTTATGCTTATAGGTTTTAATTTTTCTAACAAATAACTAATGAATAGTAATTTAGTGAGCAATTGAGAAAACAGTGCCACTTTCAGCCATACAAATTACACAGGAAGGTAAATTTTTTTGTTTCTCAAATAAATGGAGGCTCCATGGTCACTTATTTTATGATCTGTTATACATTGGAAGTGTTTGGTCCAAACCACTCTGCTGTGCTAAGCCAGGAAGATCAGTCATTTTGATGGGGAATTTTTGCATGTAAAAAATTTTGAGGGGATTTGGATGTAAAGATACAGACTTCCATCAATGAGAGAAAGGAAAAGCTTTCAAGAACATGAACATATTTGAGAGGACCTTTCAGTCCATAAAGTTGTGCCATGTCTTGTTCAGGCTTTAGTTCCTCTGCTTGTAAAAGAAATTCTGAAAATAGAGGTTTTGTTGAAATAGATAATCCCCAAATATATTAAGCATTTCTCCCTCCGCTTGGAAAAGGAGCTGAAAAGCTGTTCATACAGATTTAGTTCAATTAGAAAAGAAGTGATATTCCCTCTATTTTGCTAATGCATGTCGTGTTCAATAATCCCCCCACATAGTTGTGATTCCTTCTCTGCCAAAATCTCCTCATGGTATTATTCAATACCTTGTACTTATGCAGTAAAATTATCTGGTGCTCTGCTAATTGCTGTAGATTAAAATCAACTGACAGTTGTTAAAAGGCATGGGTTGAGCGTATTTTGAGGTGGTGTCACTCACCAATGGATTAAATTCTGCAGTTGGCAGTAGATTTTCTGCTGATAAAACTTGAACATTGATGGGATGATGTTTGAAGCACATACAGGTATATGCACGATAATCACAGTTTATGATTTTTACAGTAGCATAAATGTGGAGGTTGTCTACTGGCTGATGGTTGTGCTCTTGTAGAGGGAGCAAACACTGGATGCTGTTTAGGCAACAACAGCAGGAGAACACTCCTTTTACATAATTATTGAAGAATCCGAATCAAGGAAAAAAAAATCTCTCTTGCTTTGTTAGAATGATAGCTTGTGTGTTTTATTTCTTAGGTCAAGATGTTGTTTTCAAGTGCCTTGGAGAGAATATTCTTCAGAATGCCTTTGAAGGCTACAACGCTTGTATCTTCGCCTACGGGCAAACTGGTGAGTCCCTTCTGGACGTAAGCAAAAAATGTTGTTGACACAAAAGGTGTTATGTTCTGCCTGGAGACTCTTCACGGCTGTTGTGACATTGTTTTGGGAGAAATGCCTTGTAATGTAGATAAGAAATGTTTTTCACTTTTGTAACGTTAGATATGAGGTGGACAGGATGAGAAATGGGATTTTGTCTGTTGTTGCTGGCTACCCTTATTTCTTACAGCCCAGATTGTAATCTTCGGAATGATCGTGGTTGTCCTTGAGTTCAGTGCATCTCTCATCTTTTCTGCCTCTGCAGTTGGAATAATCGGAAATCATTATTTTAAATGTAATATACAAAACACAGCCCAGATTATAATCTTCAGAATGATCGTGGTCGTCCTTGAGTTCAGTGCATATTTTCTGCCTCTGCAGTTGGAATAATCTGAAATCATTATTTTAAATGTAATATACAAAAATGAGTATGCCTCATTGTGGCACATATGTGGTTGATAGTGCTTTTTCTTCTACAGTGGGACTCTATCTGCCTGGAAAGGTCTTCTCTGTAGGTTTGAACTGAATTTGTTGTTTGGCTTTTCCTTTTAATGACATAGTCTTTAACTAAATCCTGTTTTGGTTACTTTGAAATAGAAAACTGCACAAATATCTTTCACAGAAATTTGTATTATTTTTCTTACCTCTTCTCTCTGTGTCCTTTCCTTGTTCCGCAAACCAAGAAACCTTTTTCTGTGTGCATTAATCCTTGATTCAATCACACAGGATCTGGAAAATCCTACACAATGATGGGAACTGCTGACCAGCCAGGATTAATCCCTAGACTTTGCAGTGGACTCTTTGAAAGGGCACAGAAAGAGGAAAACGAAGAGCAGAGTTTCAAAGTGGAAGTGTCCTACATGGAGATATACAATGAGAAAGTCAGAGATCTTCTTGACCCAAAAGGGTAAGTAATTTGTGTGTCAGCAGCACTGTAACATGTTGTCATACACTCTCCCTTTCCATAACCAGTTTGCCTTAATGGATCCCGTCTAAGGCGTTTGCAGAGGATGGCTTTCACTTCTTCCTGATCTCACTCTCCTTTTGGATTGAAATAACATAGTAAGACTAAAAGCTTGGAGTAGACTCACCCTCATGCTACCTTTCATGAAGTGGCAAAAATGTCGATGTCAGCATTTTACATGGAAACATAAGGCTTTTTTTGTTTGCATTACAGTCTTGTTCTGTGCTTTATTATGGCATTTGTAAAAGGCTTTTTTTGTTTGCGTTACAGTCCTTGTTCTGTGCTTTATTATGGCATTTGTAAGAACATCGTGTTTGAGATCTGTCAGTGAGAAATTAACTTTCTATGAATGTTGTCTTAAGTCAGTCATGTGCTTATCAATAACTTTTTTTCTCCAACCAGAAGCCGTCAGTCATTAAAAGTTAGAGAACACAGTGTTTATGGTCCTTACGTAGATGGCCTGTCCAAACTAGCTGTTGCTAGCTACAAGGTAAGGTTTGACTTTATGAAAGGCTTGTGTTGACATCCTAATGACTAAGGTACTGTCCCTTAAGCAGGACGCAATTATTAAGCTACTTCTAATTGCCACGGCAGTAACATGGATTTTAGAGCAGGAGAGCTATAGGATTGTTGTCGTGTGATCACTGGGGAGAGCAGGGTTAAGAGCAGAAACACATCTTCATCCTGTACTATTCCACAATTCTGGCAGTAATTCAACTATGTAATGAAACAGCTTTCCTCCCAAATTTAAAATAAGTGTATGCTGTATCCATGAGAAAGTGTTCCGTGATTAATTACAGAGCCAGGATTTAGCAGAGATGAGCTTTCAGCACCACACCTGGTCACCTCTTGGCTGGCATGCTGCTGCCTAGTGATCTTACTTACCAGTAGCACACAGGCACCCTGAAACTAGAAACTCATGGTTGTTTCCAAGGCAAATACTTGAAAACATTGCATGAAATTTGCTTGCTGGACAGTCGCTACTGCCTAGTAATTTTACTTACTGGTAGCAGACAGGCATCCTGAAACTAGACACTCATGGCTGTTTCCAAGTTCTTGAGAACATTGCATGAAATTTGCTTGCTGGACAGTACATGTTTATATATGCATTCACAAAGTGCCCTAATTTTTAAGAAGCATTGATGTACTGTAGGAGAAATGAGTAAATACGGGATGGATTTCTGTCGTCTTAACATGAACGTGGTGCAATCCTTCCTGTTGCAGTTTCTCCAGGTATTCATCTCCCTCTCTTTGGTGGTTTTTTGTTAAGACAAGACACATTGCATGCTTTTACTTTACATGTTGCCCAGCAGCTTTGTGTAATTCAGCATAAAGAGTCAAAGTGGTCTGTGGTGGTCTTTTGTTTGATTGTTTTTTTGGTTTTTTTAGCATCACCCAGCTAGAGATGCATAAATAAAAGCTAAGCCCAAAACTCTTAAAGTTTTAACTATTTTACAGGATTGCTGTAAAACCCTGGAGCAGGGGAGCTGTGTATTTCTCCAGTATCACAATTTAACAGATCATAAGCTCTTATATGTAGGAGGAACATAACGACCTGTTCAGTGTGGTCCTGTTTTATACAACTTTCAGCATTATGGCAGTATTAGTGGTTTCAATAACACGTTAGTTTTCAACAAAAATGTTAGTGTTCAAATGTGAATTGCTGTTTCTGTGCTTTTTTCTTTGCTTTTGAGTATTGCTGTGTGCAGCCAAGTGCATTATTTTTGTTGATAATTTAATGTGTAGGTAGAGGTATTGGATGAAGACGCATGTCACAACATTGTGTAATTTCTAGGTTTTAAAGGGGACATCACGATAGGTTTTTTTTCTCACACTTTATGAATAAACAGTGGGAAACTTAGTGGGAAAATACTTGCTGTATTTTACCAAAATTAGATTGTTTGGGTAGACAATTGAAAAGCATGTTAATGCGGATATGCTTATGGCTGTGAAAATTGTATCTAGGACATTGAGTCCTTGATGTCCGAGGGCAATAAATCTCGAACGGTGGCTGCAACCAACATGAACGAGGAGAGCAGTCGGTCCCACGCAGTCTTCAAGATTATCCTCACCCACACACTCTACGATGTACAATCAGGGGTGAGTAAAACAGGTTACAAATTCCAAGTGTTAAGCTTGGGTGTGGGTCTCTTGCTTTAATACATTTTACAGGCTCTTACAAAAATGTTGATTGGAAATACCAGGCCCAGTCTCGTTCAACGTATTCATCAACGACCTGAGTGAGGGGACAGAGTGTAGCCTCAGCAAGTTTGCTGATGACACAAACCTGGGAGGGGTGGCTGACACACCAGAAAATTGTGCCGCCATTCAGTGAGACCTGGACAGGCTGGAGAGTTGGGTGGAGAGTTCCACTAATGAAGTTCAACAGGGGCAAGTGTAGGGTCCTGCTCCTACATGCTCTAGGCAATCCTGCTTCAGCGGGGGAGTTGGACTAGATGATCTCTGTGGTCCCTTCCAACTCTAAAAATTCGGTGAAATTCAGTGAATAACCCCATGTACTGGTCTCGGTTACCGGCTGACCTGCTGGAATGCAGCTCTGCAGCAAGGGACCTGGGAGTCCTGGTGGACAACAAGTTGCCCATGGACCAGCAATGTGCCCTTGTGGCCAAGAAGGCCAGTGGTCTCTTGGGAGACCATTAAAAAGAGCATGGCCAGGAGGTGGAGGGAGGCCACCCTTCCCCCTCTGCTCTGTCCTGGGGAGGCCCCATCTGGAGCACTGGGTCCAGTTCTGGGCTCCCCAGTTCAAGAAGGACAGGGAACTACTGGAGAGAGTCCAGTGGAGGCTACAAAGATGACCAAGAGACTGGAGCATCTCTCTGCTGAGGAAAGGCTGAGGGAGCTGGGGCTGTTCAGCTGGAGAAGAGCAGACTGAGAGGGGACCTCATCGATGCTGAGCAAGAACTAAAGGGTGGGTGGCAAGAAGATGGGGCCAGACTCTTCTCAGTCGTGCCTGGGGACAGGACAAGGAGCAATGGGCACAAACTGGGACACAGGAAATTCTGTCTGAACATGAGGAAAAACATCTTTCCTTTCAGGGTGCCAGAGCCCTGGAACAGTACCCCTCTGCTGAGGAAAGGCTGAGGGACCTGGGGCTGTTCAGCTGGAGAAGAGCAGACTGAGAGGGGATCTCATCGATGCTGAGCAAGAGCTAAAGGGTGGGTGGCAAGAGGATGGGGCCAGACTCTTCTCAGTGGTGCCTGGGGACAGGACAAGGAGCAATGGGCACAAACTGGGACATGGGAAATTCCATCACAACATGAGGAGGAACTTCTTCACTTTGAGGGTGGCAGAGCCCTGGAACAGGCTGTGCTTGGAGAGATTTTGAGTGTCCTTGGAGCAAATCTAAGGGGTTTATGTGCCTAAATATTGAACACAATGTAAAGCATAATGAGCATTTGGGCTTTTTTTCTCCTCATTACTCAGTCTCCACCAATCTTCTTATCCAGACAATTTTCCCTGTTTTTCATTTGATTTTTTTCCCTCTTTGCACTTCAGATCAGTAGTCATACTGTGCTAAACGCCTTGATTAGCCGCAGTTTGTCGTTCAGTTTTTGCTGTGGCACATACTTACCATACACATTTTTTGCGTGGTCATGGTGAGCCTGGATGCAAGGAGGTAGTTTTGAGTGTCTTTCCTGCATCTTCCAGTGACCACTGTGTGAGTTTCTGGCACAGATTTCTCTGTTTTCCCATCTGCTGGTCCTTTCAGTCCTGGTGATGACACATTTCTGTATGGCTTGATGATCACACTATGCTTTGAGAGGCTTAGAGTAACATTTTTGAAAGCATATTGATTTGATATGAAAGCATATCTAATTAACCCATTCATTTAGGGGAACGTAGCACTTTGCAACTGTGATACTGAGATTCTAAAGTCATAGATGCTGCAGAAAAGCATGATGTAAGCAAACCGTTCTCAAAGACAGCGTTAGCTCTTCAGCTTCAAATTGATATAGGAAATTCATG